GTGCGCATGCCGTGTGACAGGGAGGGAAACATGTACACACATGTGCACACAGAGACATCAGAGAAACGGATTCCAAGAGAGACCCTGAGGGAGACAGAAAGTGAGTCAGTGACAAGGAAAATAGTGACGGAGAATAGACTGGAGCCAGAGAAACAGGCCAAGACGATGGGAGGCCCATGTAATGGTGAGAGAGGCCAGGGGAGGGAAAGAAAGAAATTGGGGAGGGAGAGGGAGAAAGCCCAGAGATCAGAGAGAGAGAGCGCGGGAGAAATGGAGAGAGAAGAGCCCTAACAGAGGCCCAGAGACCCCAGAAGGAGGAAGAGCAGCAGAGAGGGTCCTGAGCCGGGGAGAGACAGAAGCCCCGAGGGGCAGAGGGGCAGGGAGGAGGGGCTGCTGGGCCTGGAGGTCACAGGGCCGCCAGGAAGGCAGGCGAGCTCTGCCTGCTCTTACTTGCAGGATGGGGTGGGGAGACCCTGTGGCGTATGGAATGTGCCACAGATGCCGACCTGAGGACCCCCGCTGGTGGGTTCCCCCTCTCCTGCTCTTGCCCCGTCCCCCACCCTCTACCGTCTGTGCTCAGTACAGCTCAGCTCTCAGCCACTTACGGGGCAGCGTGAGTGCGGACAGAGGGCGGACGACCATCATTCAGGCCTGCTGAGGGCTCCCACAGCTGATGGGAAGGGGCTAGGGTGCCACGGGCAGGCTCTGGGGCCTGGGGAGTCAGCCCGCTGGGCTCTGCAGTCTGCGTTGGCCAAGCTCTCTCACTTGCCTGGAGCTCGGCCCTTCTCGGCACAGGCTAGTTAACACTGCCGTGGAGAAGATTCCGTGAGGGGCAGGCCAGCAGGTGCCAGACGTGCTAGCTGGGAGTTAGTAGTAGTATAACAATCATCTGGGCCAAGCAGCCCCCCAGCATACATATGAGGGAAACTGAGGCCCAGAAAAGGGAGGAGCCAGGAGGGAGAGAGCAGGAAGGAGCCCAGGCCTTCTGAGTCTGCCTGACGTGCTGACCCCCAATGGGTCTCAGCAGTTCACGGTCCTTTCCTGAGTACCTGCTGAGAGCCGCCTGCCTGCCCCAAATCATGGCTGATTCTTCCCTGGAATGTGAGGCCCTCGTCCTCAGCGGCTCTCAGGTTTCTCTGCGGATATGAGCAGCAAATATGGGGTGGGTGCATGGAGAGAGGGAGCAAGTCCAAGGAGGGATGAGTGGGGGAGTGACAGAGGTAACCAGCACAGAGAGGAAAGTAGGGAGAGAAAAGGAAAGAGATTTATGGGGGGGGGCACCTAGAGGGAGATAAAGGCAGAAACATACCTAAGAAGGGGAAGACACGGACACATATACCCGCAAACACCCCCACACACACAGATGAAGGAGCCTCTGGCACAAGGGATGGAAGTGAGACATGACGAGGCGTAAAGACAAAGAGGAATAACCCACACCCCCCCACCACTGCCCCAATATAGGAATCCAGACAGAAGTGGGGAGGGACAGACACCGCCAGGCTGAGGATGGAATGTGGGGCAAAATGAAGTGTGGGGACACAAAAGGAAAAAGGGACACAGATAGCAAGACAGAAAAAAAAGAGAGAGGGAGAGATTAATACACAGAGAGAGAGGCAACGAGAGAGAGACGCAGAGTCTGGGGCTTGCACCCCTCTTCCCCCACTCCTGCCACACCCCACTTTCCTCCACCACCTGCTGACCCGGCTCACAGGAGCCCCACATGTCAGCGGGGGGAGAGGAGAATTCTCTGGGGCCCAGCCCTCCAGCCGCGGTCTGCCTTCCCCCCCAGCACCCCTGACGAAGAGTGTGTTAAGGCGTCGTCTGCACTGGACAGAGGCTGCTTCGCCTTGAACCCGACACACCGATGGAAGGAGAGGCACCTGCCCACCTCTGCTCACCCAGCCCAGGCCTTAGAGTCGCTTGGTTCTCCCCAAGGACTTCCGAGCCGCGGGGGCTGGAGGTGGGCACATCATCACAGCGGCATCTGCGGCCACAGGGAGAGACCTTTCTGTCACATCCAAGGCCCCGTCCCACCTCCCTTTGTGGCCCCGACGACAAGGACTTGGTGTCTGGCAGGAGGGATGGAAAGAAGGTGGAAAGCTGTTCCTCCAGGGCCAGAGACTCTGACTTTTTGCAAAGCTGGAGACCCACTTTGCTGGAACTGAAAACGGTTTGCAGCAACAGGTAAGGAGGCATCCGGGAGAGAGCAGGAGTCCCAGCGCTGACGGGGGACTGACGGTGGTAAGTGAATTAAATGCAGCCGAAGCTGAACATACCTGCCGGGGAGCGGGCTGCCATTCTCACGAAATGAAGAATCTGCTGGTGGGGAGGGAGGCAAATCCCCACTGTCCTGAGACGTCATAGCTGTGCCTTCCAGGGCGGACCCCGGTGTCATTTCCTCTGTGCGCAGGCTCAAGTGAGAGGAGCGCTGGGTTTTCCTCTGATGCCTGTGCTGGGGGCTTGGTGTGGGGGCTCTTGGGGTCTAAGATGGAGTGGAGAGAGAGAAGGGAGTCACAGTCAGTGCCAGGAGGGCCTTTGGAGCTGGGAAGGCAGACCAGGCTCAGATTCAGGTTCAAGAGAGAAACCGAGGCTATGAGCCCAAAAGTAGAGTGCCTGGTCCAGGGCGGGGCACAGAAGACACGCCGGATCAGGCAGCAGGTGTCGCCCTGAGCTGGGGGGTCTGCAGGGGCCTTTTATTTTTTCTACCTTTTTATTGAATAATAATTGACATACAACATGGTATTAGTTTCAGGTATATAACATAGTGATTCCCTATTTATATACATTACAAAATGGTTATCGCAATAAGTTACCATCTGTCACCATACAAAGTTGTTACAATATTATTGATTATATTCCCTATGCTGTACATTACATCCCATGACTTATTTACTTTATGATTGGAAGATTGTACCTCTTAATCCCCTTCACCTATTATGCCCACCCTCTCTGGCAACCATCAGTTTGTTCTCTGTGTCTTTAAGAGTCTATTTCTGTTCTGTTTGTTTTGTTTTTTGGATTCCACATATGAGTGAAATCATATGGAGTCTGTCTTTCTCTGACTGGCTTATTCCACTTAGCATGATACCCTCCAGGTCCGTCCATGTTGTTGCAAATGGCAAGATTTCATTCTTTTTTATGGCTGAGTAGTATTCTCATCTTCTTTATCCATCCATCTATCGATGGACAAGGGCTGCTTCCATGTCTTGGCTATTGTAAATAATGCTGTAGTGAACATAGAGGTGCTTGTAGTTTTTCAAATTAGTGCTTTCATTTTCTTCAGATAAATACCTAGAAGTAGAATTACAGGATCATATGGTAGTTCTATTTTTAATTTTTGGAGGAACCTCCATACTATAAAACTATAGTCATCAAAACAGTATGGCACTGGCACAAAAACAGACGCATAGATCAGTAGATCAGAATAGAGACCCCAGGAAGAAACCCATGCTCACATGTTAATCCATGTTTACAATAATTAATCTACAACAAAGGAGGCAATGGGGAAAGGATCATCTCTTCAATAAATCGTGTTGGGACTACTGGACAGCCACATGCACCAGAATGAAACTGGACCACTTTCTTATACCATACACAAAAATTAACTCAAAACGGATTAAAGACATAAGTACAAGACCTGAAACCATAAAACTCCTAGAAGAAAACAGGCAGAAAACTGAGCCTGGGTGGCTCAGTTGTTAAACGTCTGCCTTCAGCTCAGGTCATGATCCCAGGGTCCTGGGATCGAGCCCCACATGGAACTCCCTGCTCAGCAGGAAGCCTGCTTCTCCCTCTCCCACTCCCCCTTGCTGTGTTCCCTCCCTTGCTGTCTCTCTCTGTCAAATAAAAATGGAAGGAAGGAAGGAAGGAAGGAAGGAAGGAAGGAAGGAAGAAAGAAAGAAAGAAAGAAAGAAAGAAAGAAAGAAAGAAAGAAAGAAAGAAAGAAAGAAAGAAAGAAAGAAAGAAAGAAAGAAAACAGGCAGTAAGCCTTTGACATTAGTCATAGGGCTATTTTTTTGGACCAGTCTCCTCAGGCAAGGACAACAAAAGCAGAAATAAACAAACAGGCCTACATTAAACTAAAAAGCCTTTGCACAGTGAAGGAAACCATCAACAAACGAAAAAGCAACCCACTGAATGGGAGAAGATATTCACAAATGACATACCCAACAAGGGGTTAATATGCAAAATATATAAAGAAACTATACAACTCGATAACAAAAAACAAACAATCCAATTTAAAAATGGGCAGGGGACCTGAATAGACATTTTTCCAAAGAAGACATCCAAATGGCCAACAGACGCATGAAAAGATGCCCAATACCACTCATCAGGAAAACACAAATCAAAACCGCAATGAGAAATCACCTCACACCTGTCAGGATAGCTAGAATCAAAAAGACAAGAAACAACAATTATTTGCCCAGAATGTGGCTAAAAGGGAGCCCCCGTGTGGTGTTGGTGGCAATTAAATTGGTGCAGCCTCCGTGGAACAGTCTTCTAGGGCCTTCTAAACAGAGGAGCCCTGGACGTAAAGGGGGTTGTTATTCCTGCAACTATCATTCACTCTGGCTATCTTTTCCAGAATCCCACATGGGGGTCCCTGACTGTCCCTCTCCTGACCCCCTGACGTCTCACGTGTCTGACGGGTTTTGAAGAAGTGGGTCTGGCCTGAACTCAGTCTGCGGAAGTGGATTCTCTGTGCACATGGACGCCGTCCATGTACCTTGAGAATCTCATGGAAAGCGTTATTCTGGTCCACCTGGTTAGTGGTGGGGCACTGCCATCCCAGCCTCCTTCCCTTCAGCTTTTACGAACCATTAGTGGCAAGAGGTTCCTTGCCAGTTCTTTGGCAAAACACAGCACTTTCTTTTAAGCATATTGTGTTAAAGTCAGAATTTCGTCTCTATTAGTTGATAACCTTTTCTTCCAGCTTTTCTTTTAAATGACTATTTCTCATTCATTCTTGTGGAAGATCTGTTAAGAGAGATGAATCTAGAAAAGTCATGAACTCTTGAGAAGATATGGCTCTTTAAGATGTATTTATTTGCAGCATAAATGAGTAGATAAACCATGGGGTCATTACAGGGCAGCTTGAATTGTTCTGCTTTGAATGAATTGTAGCTCTGTCCGCAAGTACCTGCTCCTGACTGGTACTCAAGCTTCTGTTTCAGGCTGTGATATTCAAGGAAGTGGGGTGGGTTTAGCTGGGTCTGTCAGCCCTGCCTTGACCCTGTGAGGTAGTTCGGTAAACTCTCACCTGCACAGGTGGGAGGCTCATGGAGGCCTCAGTTCTGGAGGCTTCTCCCTAATTCCCATCTGCTTCAACACAGACCTGTGAGGCCCAAAAGGGCTGGGGTGGGGTTCACCCCCGGGCACAGGGCGCATATATGAACAATATGCACTACATTAATAAAGAAACAAAGAAAAATGGCCAAGAACAGTGCTTACTTTGTAGGAGTTCACTTTGCATCAGAAATATTGTGGACACCCAAGTAATGAAGAAGAAACTCTCCTAAGAGGACATGATCAAGTTAACATTTATTATGTGCCTATTGAGAGACCAGCTACCAACTGGTCGGTGGGTGTCACCTCCCCCACCTCAGGGATGAGAGTCAGAGAGGGACAGGGATCCGCCCAAGGTCACACAGCCAGGTAGGGTGGAGCTGAGTGCAAACCCCACCTGCCTGGCTCCACCTCCAGGCTTTTTCCTCCCACCTCCCAGGGTAAGGTTGCTGTTATTATCTTCACGGTAAGTCCGTTCACACATTCATTCATTCATTCATCCATCCATTCATTCATACAAACACACACTAGCACCTCTTCTGCTCCAGATGCCGAGGACACAGGGTCAGGGCGCAAGGGGGGCTCTGCCAGAGGACCAGGGAGGGGCCCCATGGTCAGGACGGGCCCCAGGTCAGCTCGGGATAGGCAGCCAGCTCCGTGGGCTTGACATGGAAGTGTCTGAGCTGCAGAACAAGGCTTCTCCAAAACTCCCAACTAACTTGAGGCTCTTCTCCGACCCGTAGAGCGACATTGAGAGGCAGGGCTCAGCGGCCATGGACTTGAAGAGCTCGGATGAAGGGAAGGTCAGCCAGGGCTTTGCCACAAGGCGAGGAAGGAAAAATGTGAAGAAACAGTGTTCTAAGTCAACCAGAACCCTCGCAGGGAACCCTGACAGGACTAGAGAAGTTTGCTTCCACCAGAAAGTCAAAGGGGAAACACTTTCATTTCCATGACACATTTCTATTTTTTTAAGAAACCGCATGATTATTTTTGCACTGGAAAGCCATGAATGGAAAATTCCACCTCCCGTTCCTCCTCCAGGCGCTAAAGAATAGAGGAAGCTTCTGTCCCCGGTTTGCTGGTGCCTGAAATTCTACCATTGGAGCTTCCTTCCTATGGTGTGAGGCTTTGTCCTTTGTTAAAATGCAAACTTCATAGAAGTCATGTCTTCAACACAGATTTATTTTCATTAACTCAATAAATATTTATTGACTTCTTGGCCTCAGCCATGCAGTATCTAGAGGCTGGGAATAGAGACATTAATTAAGACGTGTCCAGGTCCACACCTTCAAGGAACTAGCAAATTCTGTGTATGAGGGCTGGGGTAGAGGACCATAGGAACCCTGATCATAATGGAGCGGTGAATGATGGTGGTGGGAGCCCCCAGCAGAGGTGACCTATTTCATAGTTGCAAAAGGTGGAGCTTGAGCTGCAATCTAATGGATGAAGCGCGGGTGGGAAGTGGTTGAGAATCCCAGCGGGAGGGTACAGCCAGGGCAAATGAATGGGGTCATGAGCCAGTATGGTGGGGTATGGGGACTACATGCCACTCAGCAGGCTTGGACATAAGGTAGGACATGGCAGGTAGGACCGGAGTGGCAGGAAGGGCTTCTCATTGATTGGACGCTACTTTCATGTCAGGGGGTGGCCTCTGTCCCAGCGCTTTGCTGCCTCCCCAGCCTCCCCCTCACTTTGTCCCACCAAGCCCACCAGACTCTCCTTTGCGAAACTGCCTTGTGCTCCTCTCAGTCACGTGGTCTGGATGACCCACCCCCCCCCTCCAAGCCCCAGGGGTGGAGCCTGATTGGCTTAAGGAGTCAGCCTACTCTTATCCTGCTGGTGCCTGATTGGTTCAGGAAAGGGCACGTGGCCCAGCTCAGGCCAATGAAAGGCCAGAT